GGCTTATGTCCCCATAAGAAACAGTGGATCCTCACCAGGCTGTGTAGTTTGCTTCATCTCTAAATGAAGATCTCTAAAGAGATGCTGCTCTTTAATATTGTTTATTTACTGTCTTAGTTGTGTGTGGTGTTTAATTTACATTTTGTTGTTCTTTGTTTTATTTTTTTTTTCAAGTGCATTTTTTGTTAGAGACTGAGAGTCCACTTTGTTAAACATTCTTTTAAAAATGAAAGTTTATTGATTTATTACACTTACATAGTCTGCTTTTATAATTATTAGTTGTAAAACGGTCACCAGGCAATGTTATCGTTTATCGCAATAAATTTTAAGACAAATAATCGCCCATCAAAATTTGTTATCGTGACAGGCCTAACCATATACACATCTACACTCACAGGAAAAAATAAAATAACCTTTAATTTACACTACATGCGGTTCCATTCTGCTCCAGTTTGCCGCCATTCGTTTGCACCACAATTTATAAAACGTCCGCTCTGGTGTGCAGCAGAGAGGTGCTCTCAGAAGCATGTGCAGGAAATGTGAGATTGAGTGATAAGTCGAGATAAATGTGAAAGTCAGAGCAAACAATTCTGTGGAAGACTGACTTCAAACACAGTTTAAACTGCATCACTGTTGTCTTTTTGAAACTTCTGATTTCAAAATAAAATCCACGTATACAACCCCTTGTAAAAATTATGGAATCATCTGCTTCGTGGGAAGTTTATTCAGTTGTTTAATTTTTTAGAAAAAAAGCAGATCACAGACATGACGCAAAACCTCATGACAAAAAAGTCATTTCCAATAGTAACATTCTGGCTTTAGGAAATACTAAAAGAAATCAAGAAAAACAACTGTGGTAGTCAGTAACAGTTATCTTTTTTGGCCGAGCAGAGGGGGAAAAACTATGGAATCACTTAATTCTGAGGAAAATATTATGGAATCATGAAAATCAAACAAACAAAAGAACACTCCCAACACATTAATAGTATTTTGTTGCACCACCTCTGGCTTTTATAACAGCTTGCGGTCTCTGAGGCATGGACTTAATGAGTGACAAACAGTACTTTTCATCAATTTGGCATTAACTTTCTCTGTTGCCAGATCAGCTTTTCAGGTTGGAGCTTTGTCATGGACCATTTTCTTCACCTTCCACCAAAGATTTTCAATTGGATTGAGATCTGGACTATTTGCAGGCCATGACATTGACCTTATGTGTCTTTTGTGTTTTCACAGTTTTTGCTCTATGGCAGGATGCACTATCATCTTGAAAAATGATTTTATCATCCCAAAGATCCTTTCAATTGATGGGATAAGTGTCCAAAATATCAATGTAAACTTGTGCATTGATAGAAGAATTAACCATAGTCATCTCCCCAGTGCCTTTACTTGACATGCAGCCCCATATCATCAATGACTGAGGAAATTTGCATGTTCTCTTCAGGCAGTCATTTTTATAAATCTCTTTGGAATGGCACCAAACAAAAGTTCCAGCATCATCACCTTGCCCAATGCAGATTCACGATTCATCACTGAATATGACTTTCATCCAGTCATCCACAGTCCACGATTGCTTTTCCTTAGCCCACTGTAACCTTGTTTTTTTTCTGTTTAGGTATTAATGATGGCTTTCATTTAGCTTTTCTGTATGTAAATCTCATTTCTTTTAGGCAGTTTCTTACAGTTCGGTCACAGACATTGACTCCAGTTTCCTCCCATTTGTTTTATTGTGCATTTTCTGCTTTGGAGACATATTGCTTTAAGTTTTCTGTCTTGGCGCTTTGATGTCGTCCTTGATCTGCCAGTATGTTTGCCTTTAACAACCTTCCCATGTTGTTTGTATTTGGTCCAGATTTTAGCCATAGCTGACTGTAAACAACCAACATCTTTTTTAACATTGCGTGATGATTTACTTACCCTGTTTTAAGAGTTTGATAATACTCTCCTTTCTTTCAATTGACATTTCTTGTGTTGGAGCCAATGAGCACATCTGCTATGATGCAGGTGTTAGTTTTGGGAATGAAAATTTACATGGTGATTACATATTTTCTTCCTCAGAATTGAGTTTTTCCATAATTTTTTCCCTCTGCTTGGTCTAAAAAATTTATTGTTATCGACTACCACATTATTTTTCTTGATTTCTTTTAGTGTTTCTTAAAGCCAGAAAGTTACCATTTGAAATTACTTTAGTTTTGTGTCATGTCTATGATCTGCTTTTTTTCTACAAAATTTAACAACTGAATGTACATTCTCTGAGGCCAATGATTCCATAATTTTGTCAGGGGTTGTATTATGTGTATATGTATATTCTGAATGCTATATGTTACCATCTGCTTCCTAAACAAAACAATACCAGGGTTTCCCGCAGTGCATAAGGTTGGCGGGCCGCCAGGCTTTATATACCTCCCCGCCTGGTAAAGCTTTGTTCGTTTACTCAGAGCGGACGTCGACCCGCGTAGCATGTGCTAAATTAGTAAAGCCAAAAAGCTATCATAATGACTCTCAGCGTTAAAAAAAAAACAGTCATAGTCCATGGGCTAGGGTGGCTTACCATGCATCTCCACTACTGAACTTCTCTGGTATTTTCATGTACCCTAGGGTCCACTCTTTCAAAAAAATGCATGTTAACAGAAAAAAAGTTGGGTCTCACTGCCCCCAGGGACCCTGTTTTGCCACACCCCTTTTCTATTGTGACCATCAAAATTAGGGGTACAGAAAACTTAATTGCCAATAACTTTGCTATAAACCAACCAAAGTTTAAAAACAAGGTATCAGGGGACTTCCAGTGACAATGCGGCAAGGAGAGGACGCACGCTGAAAAAAAGACATGGATTTAAGATTTCCTCTGCAGGTGTTTGTCATTGTAAAAATAAACGAGAGAAAAAAAAACTTGTTAAAGTCATCTAGAGATTWAACTGACTGTTCTTTCATCCAATAAAGAGAACCAAAGTCAAAGTTTTACCCAATCAGAACACAGCAGGGCGGGTTGTGTTTTCTGACTGACAGCACTGCCTTTCCTTTTCCTTTCTCTGTGGGTGTGGGGGTCAGCTCAGGTGAACACCTCCCAGGAAAGCCCTCAGCGTTTCCTGGACTTTTTCCACCGAGGATTATGTCGTATTTTATATATACTGTATTATATTTCTAAAAGCATCTTGCAGCATGTCTCCTGTAACACTGTGTTCACGAGCACAACAAAACCATGACAGATCACCTGACTTTTAAAGCGAGGTCTGAGAGGCAGTTTGACTGCAGCTGCTGCACCTGTCCACCGCAGCCCAGCTCCGACCTGCCCGGGATTATAGTCCACATGTCAACCCCCTCAGACGGTATAATGAGCATAAAAAATCTGTAATTTTGCGCAAAACGTCTGTATTAACTACATGCGGGTGGAGTGGAGGTACAGGCGGACTGCAGCCGGGGGTGGGGGGGGCTCCTCCAAAGACGTGTCTGGGTTTTAC